ACTGTTGGGGAACGCAGCAGAAATTCAAAATTTTCCTACGAGTCACCAAGATCTTTCTATGGAGAGACTAGCAACGAGGGGAAGGGGAGTGCATCTACATACCCTTGCAGATCGCTAAGCGAAAGCGTTCAAGAGAACGGGGTTGAAGGAGTCGTACTCGTCGTGATCCAAATCACCGGATATCCTAGTGCCGAACGGACGGTACCTCCGCGTTCAACACACGTGCAGCCCGGTGACGTCTCCCATGCCTTGATCCAGCAAGGAGAGAGGGAGAGGTTGGGGAAGACTCCGTCCAGCAACAGCACAATGGTGTGGTGGTGGTGGAGGAGCGTGGCAATCCTGCAGGGCTTCGCCAAGCACCGCGGGAGAGGAGGAGGACTTGGGAGAGGGGAAGGGCTGCGCCAGAACTTGGGTGCGGCTGCCCTCCCCACCCCCCACATATATATAGGGGCAAGGGAGAGGGGGCCGTCCCCCTTAGATCCAATCTGAGGAGGGGGCGGCGGCCAGGGCGGTTGCCTTACCCCCCAAGGCAAAGGGGGGCGCCCCCTTTTAGGGTTCCCCCAAACCCTAGGCGCCTTGGGCCCTGGTGGGGGGCGCACCAGCCCACCCGGGGCTGGTACCCTCCCACACTTGGCCCACTCTGCCCTCTGGGGCCGGTGGGCCCACTTGGTAGACCCCCGGGACCCTCCCGGTGGTCCTGGTACGTTACCGATAGCACCCGAAACTTTTTCGGTGACCAAAACAGGACTTCCCATATATAAATCTTTACCTCCGGATCATTCCGGAACTCCTCGTGACGTCCGGGATCTCATCCGGGACTCCGAACAACATTCGGTAACCATGTATATATATTCCCTATAACCCTAGCATCATCGAACCTTAAGTGTGTAGACCCTATGGGTTCGGGAACCATGCAGACATGACCGAGACGTTCTCCGGTCAATAACCAACAGCTGGATCTGGATACCCATATTGGATCCCACATGTTCCACGATGATCTCATCGGATGAACCACGATGTCGAGGATTCAATAAATCCCGTATACAATTCCCTTTGTCTAGCGGTATGTTACTTGCCCGAGATTCGATCGTCGGTATCCCGATACCTTGTTCAATCTCGTTATCGGCAAGTCTCTTTACTCGTTCCATAACACATCATCCCGTGATCAACCCCTTGGTCACATTGTGCACATTATGATGATGTCCTACCGAGTGGGCCCAGAGATACCTCTCCGTCACACGGAGTGACAAATCCCAGTCTCGATTCGTGCCAACCCAACAGACACTTTCAGAGATACCCGTAGTGCACCTTTATAGCCACCCAGTTACGTTGTGACGTTTGGTACACCCAAAGCATTCCTACGGTATCCGGGAGTTGCACAATCTCATGGTCTAAGGAAATGATACTTGACATTAGAAAAGCTTTAGCATACGAACTACACGATCTTTGTGCTAGGCTTAGGATTGGGTCTTGTCCATCACATCATTCTCCTAATGATGTGATCCTGTTATCAACGACATCCAATGTCCATGGTCAGGAAATCGTAACCATCTATTGATCAACGAGCTAGTCAACTAGAGGCTTACTAGGGACATGGTGTTGTCTATGTACCCACACATGTATCTGAGTTTCCTATCAATACAATTATAGCATGGATAATAAACGATTATCATGAACAAGGAAATATAATAATAATAACTAATTTATTATTGCCTCTAGGGCATATTTCCAACACCAAAACCCTCCCCCGACCCCGCGCATCCATCCTCCCCAATCTCACTCCTTCCTTCTTTCTCTCTTGCCTTCGCCGCCGCTCCACCACCCTGGCCAAAATGCCACACCCCTGCCAAAACTTTATGCCTCCATCGCCTCCAGCGTTCCAGGCAGGCTCCACGGCGCTTCTCCCCCATCGTTGTTCAAACCCTCTCCTCCGACCACCACGCCAGATATCATCCGCTACTTCTATACTCACCATGCCCGGCAACAGTTTGATGAATTGTCGAAGCTATAAAAGTTGTGCCCTATTCTTTCAAGCAATGGATTCCGATTCGGAGTACATATATAAGCACTATGTTGAGTCGTCCGATGGCTTGTCCGGCGAGGAGGACTACACGTATGAGATGGTGATGATGCAGTCGGTCCTTGAAGACGCGGAGCGTGCGGAGGAGTGATACATCTCCGTCGTATATACTTTTCCTAACGCTTTTCCTCTTGTTTTGGACTCTAATTGCATGATTTGAATGAAACTAACCCAGACTGACGATATTCTCAGTAAAACTACCATGGTGTTGTTTTTGTGCAGAAATAAAAGTTCTCAGAACGGAATGAAACTTTGTGAACGTTCTGCTAGCTGAGTTGAAAAACGAGTAACTCGTGTAGCTGGTGGTACTGTGGAAGGTGTTGCAACAACTAGGGCTGTCACTGCTTGTCTGGTGGCAGCTATTAGTTTCTGTTTGGCTTGTTTTGTAGCTCGTGTAGCATGGGATACCGCGTTTGTACAATTTTTCGCTGAACTTTGACCTTCTATTGCACCATTACCAGCAGAATCTGCATAATTATTCTACTTTCGTTTCCGTGTGTCCTTAGTACTAACACCATCCCCTGTCATTTTGTGTTCCTTCCTCTTTCTCTGTGCCATGTTAAGTCAAGCCGACAAGAAAAAGGAATAAAACTTTAGTTCTTCGGAACAAATTGATGCGTGATACAGACGAACTAAACTTTGATGTTAGACAACCACATGATAGGAGGATGTAATATGTACGAAAAACAGGACGACATGAGATAATCAGAACTATGATGTGTAACCTAAGCAGAATGCATTTCAATAAATTAGAAGCAATGCAATGGAAGGTAGACACCATATGAAAGATGCTACAAATACCGCTCTGTCAAGTTAACAGTGTCTCGTCATAACTGGCGTTTAAACAAATGTGAATCAGTACAAGAAATAAATCATATGCAAGATGCAAACAACAACACACTACCAAGTTAAAGCTCTCTCATCATTAGTGCCATTGCATATTCACAGCATTGCATATTCAGAGCTTATGATGTGTAAACTAAGCAGAAGACATTTCAACAAATTAGAAGCAATGAAAGCTAGACACCATATGTAAGGCAAAGGTTTGCCCTTGATATGTTTTCTATTTTACCGGTCTCATGGTTGTAGTTGGGAGACCGGGTTATAGGATCGATTGCCGTACTATCAAGGGGGGCATCATGATGAGTAGCTTGATCGTATCATTCGTAGAGAGCTCGAACCATTGCATCATTGCATCATCTTTATTGGTTCTTGTTTGTCTTTTCTCCTTGTTAGATTTGGAGCTTATGGTCATCTTGATGACAAGCTCGAGTTCATCGGAAACGGAGTTCACGTGCATCTTCTATGATGTTTTTGATGTTGGAGGTTATGCCGGTTCTTCTCTGTTGGAGGATTGTCTCTTCTATATCTTGGCATACCTCCCCTGCCTCTTCGCTGTTGGATGCTACTCGTCGTCATCTATCCAACAAGCTTGAGTTTGCTCAATTTAGAGTTCATTTGCAGAAGTTGTGGCAGTTCTGGTTTTTCTGGAGCATCTGTTTTGCTTGGAAGTGGCATAAGGAAGGCGCCAGCGGTAGTACCGCGGCCCGGGGCAGCAGTACCGCTGTTTCACAGCAGTAGTATCGCCCACGACCACAGGCGGTAGTACAACTCCGATTCCGCGCTAGTACCGCCTCGACTCGAGACCTGCGTGTCTCCTGTTGGGTTCAGCGGCAGTAGCAGCGGCAGTATGAGCGGTAGTACCGCTTGTAAGCGGTAGTACCGCTTGTAAGCTACTAGTGCCGCTCAACGGCCCTCCTCTTTGTTCCTTCTCCCTTAGGCGATGTGCGAGGTCCCAACGGTACTCCGAGCAGCAATACCGCTGCGGCCAACGGTGGTACCACTCCCTAGAGCGGTAGTACCGTTCGCTGCAGGCTGAGAATGGGGATAACGGTTGGATTTTTTCCCCTCCTATAAAAGGGGGTCTTCTTCCCCATTGAGCCTTATCCTTTGAGCTCGCGTTCTTCCCCCATTGTTGACCTTCTTCGAGCTTGCTTTCACTCAATCCCTCCATGGATTCTTGCTAGTTTGGGGGAGAAAAGAGAGAGGAGATCTAGATCTACGTTTCCACCAATCACTTTCTCCTCTATGTGAGGGGAACCCTTTGGATCTAGATCTTGGAGTTCTTTGTGTTCTCTTCTTCGTTCTTCCTCTCATTTGGGAGAGAAGGACTTGGGCACTCCGTGTGCCCTTGCCATTGCATTTGGTGCATCGGTTTGTGTTCTCCACGGTTATACGTGGAAGTTTCTAGTTGAGAAGCTTATTACTCTTGGGTGCTTGGTATCCTTGAGCTAGCAACATCTTATCGGGTGAGGCTCAGGCCGACGAAGGCCACACACAACCGTCAAGGATATGAAGTTGCGAAGAGTTGGAGGTAGTGCAGAGGCTTGGCCGCTTGGGGGTGGAAGGAAGAGTCTGACTCGGTCTCAAAATTGGTTGACCAGCTCAAAACCGTTACCAGGGTTGTCTTTTGAAACTTTTTGGTAAGTTGAGGGTGCAATTCGACCGGTTTCGAAGATAAGGGTTGTAAATCAAGCCTGGTTTGTTCATGGTTGAAAAGTGGATTTTTCTCTTATTTATATCGCCCAACCCATGGCCTCACAACAAACACGGTTGAGCGCAAAATAACAGTTTGGCTACTCTGCTCCGGTGACCGGCGCGTGTGCGTGCATGCGTTCGCGTGTGTTACGTTGGCGCGTGAGTGTGCCTCGTAGTCCATCCCATAGGATCAGGTTGTTGGAGTTGGTTGCAAAGCAGCCGGGGCGATCCGAGCATGCGTTTGAGCGCGTCCTGTGCGCGGCCGGTGTGGCATCATGCGGATCGTGCGCGCAGCCGGGCGAGACGGGCACTAGCGGCGTGCGTGCGTGCGCCTGTGCCCTCTCCTTCTTTCACGAGTACCCGGCTTCCTCGCAACACAAAAATGGAAGGCGGCGCAGTCCAGATCGTATCTCGGCGCACGGTCAAGCCAGATTACCAAACGAGCACCCGGCCGCCGGAGCCCGAGACCGTCCACCTGACGCCGTGGGACCTGCGGCGGATCACGGTGGACTACATCCAGAAGGGGGTCGTCCTGCCCAAGCCTCCGCCCGGCGCGCACGCCGTCGAACACCTCGCGTCGTCCTTCGCGCGCGCCGTGGGCCGCTTCTACCCCCTCGCCGGCCGCTTCACCGTCGCGCCGGGGGCCACCGACGACGACGGGGCGCCGTCACCTCGGCCGAGCTTGACGATCTCGCTCCGCTGCGGCGACGAAGGCGCCGACTTCGTCCACGCCGTGGCGCCCGGGGTGGCTGTCGCCGACATCGCCGGCCCGCTTCACGTCATCCCACGGGTGGTGTGGTCCTTCTTCCCTCTCAGCGGGATGCTCGGCGCCGACGCCGTCGTCGACCCCGGCCGGCCGGTCCTGGCCGCGCAGGTCACGGAGCTCGCCGATGGCCTCGTGGTCGCCATGTCGCTGAACCACGGCGCCGCCGACGGGACCACGTTCTGGGACCTGTTCAACGCATGGTCGGATATCAGCCGGAGCCGCGCCGCCGCCAACGGAGACATCTCCACGGTGGCCCCACCTCCTAAGAGATGGTTCCTCGACGGCTGCACCGTGCCGATCCCTCTCCCCTTTGCCAGGGTGGAGGACATCGCCAGGCGGTTCGAGTACCCGCCGGTGCAGGAATGCTCGCTCCGTTTCTCGTCGGAGAGCGTGAAGAAGCTGAAGGCAAAAGCGAACGCCGAGATGGCCACCGGCACAGCCACCATCTCCTCCTTGCAAGCCGTGCTTGCACAGCTATGGCGAGCAATGTGCCGGCCCGTGGGCTCGCGCCGGACCAGGAGACGTCGTGCGCGCTTCCCGTCGGATGCCGGACACGCGTGAAGGGCATGCCGCAGGGTTACCTAGGCAACGCGGTGGCGGGCGCCGTCGGCAGGGCCTCCGTCGGCGAGATCCTGGGCGACGGCCGGCTGGGATGGGCGGCGTGGCTTCTGAACCGGGCCGTGGCTGCGGTCGACGAGGCGAGCGTGAGGGACGAGCTCGCGGCGTGGCCAGGAAACCCCAGCTTCAAGTACGCTGCCGAGTTCGGTGGGGATCCTCCTGCGGCGATGGTGGCCACCGGCTCGCCGCGGTTCGACGTGTACGGCAACGACTTCGGGTGGGGCAGACCGGTGGCCGTCCGGAGCGGCGCCGGGAACAAGCTGGACGGGATGGTCACGGTCTACGAGGGCGGCGGAGGGACAGGGAGCATGGAGCTGGAGGTGTGCCTCGCCCCTGATGCGCTCGCCAGGCTCGTCGCCGACGAAGAGCTGATGGCCGCGGTGGTAGGAGGGCCGACGTACTGATCCGCGATGGTAGGTGCATGGTGCACCAATGCGTCGAAGGAGTTTGCCATTCAGAATTTCAGATATACAATGGAAGTCTACTGTATTATTTTTCCTAAAAAAGAGTGTATTGAAAGTGGATAATATGTTTCAAAATTTCTGATCATGTCTACGTCCAGATTCCTCCAGCTATAGATGTTACTAGCACATATATGCCCGTTGCAACAAAGAAAACAAATATGATGTGTTTTCGAATTTAGTGAACCAAATATGTGAAAAACATCTTATCATATTTTTTTCCCTGTGTAGCACAAATGCCCCTGTGTTGTAATGAAAGACAAAATACCCCAATTCACTAACCCAATGGCTCAAGACCCCCTCCTCCATTACCCATCACCAGGCATGATGACATCAACAAACTCCATGAAATCCTCCATACTCCCACACGAGAAACAGCATAAATATTAGGAGCATTTACAAAGACTGTCAATCTCTAGCTAATATAATGGAAAAAACTGCAGAGTTTGTGTCACACGCAGCAGAAACTCCAAGTCTGACTGCTTCTACTTTGGTGACGGGCGCTAATGGGTCGACCAAATGAATAAAAGCAAATTTTTTGTTTTCTTCTCAGAAAAATATAGCACATGACCAATAAAAATGAACAATTTTTTTATTATGATTTAGACATATTTTTGTGTGTGTTATACGTAATATTTTGCTCTTGAGTTAAACAGTTGTGACACGCCAAATATTAGTATCACAGTATCGTATCTTAGTTGTTGACGTCAACAATTTGGATATAAAGTAGTTCATGAGCGAACCAACTTGTGGTTTGATGGTTAGGAGAACGGTGATATCCCAAGCCCCTCAGGGTTCTAATCTTGGTGCTCGCACTATCCTGAATTTATTTCAGGACATCCGGTGATGGTGCGTTCAGTCGGAGGAGACATTTCTGTTGACTACGAGATGATTGAAGTGACTTCGTCAATCCCAAAATAATGTGTCGGACCAGTCTCTCAAATGTGCTCATAGGAGTAGATTATGCATGTGTGTGTTCATAGAAAGTGCACGCTGCGTATATATGAGCTACTGCTTATGTACTGTGTTCCCAAAAAAATAGATTCACCCGTGGCATGTGCACCTAAACAAAACACCTAGCAATTGAGCTACAAAAGAAGCCGTTCAACAAATTTAGACACAGAGAAGAAATTTCATCGGTTACTGATAAGCCTATTGTTCTTCAATAAACTTATATTCTACCATGTAAAAAAGATGATATTTTTGGGGCATAATTACCAATTGTCTCGCTATATGAGACAAAGTAACTATTGGTGTATGTTCATTTAAAATGGCATTAATTTTTTTCTTTTCGAATATCCTATTGTTCTTCAACAACTTATATTCTACTTAGATTATAATCGCATTATAATTTACTTTAACTTTAATATTATGTTCTGTTTTACTAGTTATAATTTTATGTTTAAACCCTATAACTTTAATTTTAAATAAAGGTAATATATTTAATACTTTATTTCTTGCTTATATTTTGTAATTCACATAGATATTAAGTTATATTCTTTGTCCATCAAATCAATAAAATATATGTAATATTATTATTTGGAATTCTAATGCACGGATGTGTCTGCTCATGCCTTCCAACACGATGGTTGTGTACACTGTCTGATCTGTGAGACTGGCCGCTCATGTCATGATGATCCGGTTGCATGCTACTATCATGTCTGCCATGGTGATATTGTGTAGGGGCATCTCCAAAGCGAACCTTCAAAACTCTACTATATGTCTAGACCATACTGTCCAGATCACTTTTATCATCCAATTATAACCTTTATACGTCCGCTTAGTACTCCGGACATATAGATTTCGGTTTCCAAGAGACAAATGTGGCGGGCTTTGCCAGAGTCCGGACATGCACTTGACCGATCATATGCATGGTCCTTCTCCTTTCTCTCTCCTACTAACCGCACATGCATGGTCCTCCTCTCCTCTCTCTACTCCCAACCGAACACTAAATCACAAATATCACATCACATGCATGGCGTCCATCTACGTTTTCTCTTCCCAATCGGATACTTTATAATTAGTGTTGGATGGCTCCCTCCCGCATCATCTCTGCGGACCACGTCCGAACATAAAAATGGACATACATTAAAGACATTTACGGGTCAGCTTTGAAGTGCCCTAAGTCACACGTTAGTGCATCCCAACACTGTGAGGCATATGACAGTAGTAGCAGCGCCAAGATTGGCCCATGACCTAGGCCAGCAAAGGTACAATGCAGCAACAGTGACAAATAGCGTTTACATCTACAATAAAGGAAGCAGCAGATAATTGCCCCTGTGCCAGTCGCCGCCATTGTATGACAGGAACCACGAAGGACATTTATATTACTAGTAAAAGGGCTTGTGCGTTGCAATGGGAGAAAAAAAAACCATAGTCCCTAAGGCCATGACAACATTTTGCCACCTCACCTATAACATTTTGTCGAACATTTTTTTCAATTTCATTAACACTTTTTAATACACAAAATTTTTAAAAAATCATGAACATTTTATTGATATCCCAAATATTTTTTAAAAATTGCGAACTTTTTTGAATAAGCGGACATTTTAAGAAAATTACGAACATTTTAAGAATCCACAAACATTTTATGATTTATTGAACATTTTATTTGAAAATTCTCTTTTTTTATTTTTGGAACTCTTTAAGTACCAAATTATTTAAAGGATAAAAAACAAAAAGATAAAATAAAAAATGAAAATAAAAAAATGAAATTTAAAAACAGGCCGCCCACACATAGGTCGACCGAAACGGGCATGTTGAGTCTTCTTCCAGCGCGCAAAGTGGAGTATAGGAGGTCCCTACTCCGTGGGCCGGCCCAGGCGGGGATTCCCCTGTGTGGAGTTTTTTTTTTTGTCACTTATTGATGGCATCGGTGGGTAATATTTTGTAATTTTGAGGGCAATTTAGGTGACGTACTACTAAAAGCATTAATGACTTTATTATTATGTATATATTTATTACATTGAAGACACACATGGATGTCTTAAAATAAATATAGAAGGATGCAAGCACCAATATTAAGTTTAGGAGTTGGACCCTGGTGAGCTGGGATATCACTATCTTTCCAACCATTGAACCACGGATTGGTTCGCGTGTACTATGTTGAAGATTGAGCCGAGGTGTAGTACATGTAGTAGATTGGTTTCTCATTACCACGGATTTCAAAAAAATGTCTCGTTTGTATGCTCATTGTACGGTGTGGTTATTCGCAAAAAGAGACAAAAAATAAAAGAACGATGAGAAGATCTTAACTTGCTCGTGCTCCCCAAATATATATATACCGCACGGCGCACGCCCCAAGCCACACGGCACGATCTAGCGCAATCAAAATGAAAGTTGGCCGCCTCGGGGGCCTGAGACCGTGCACCTGACGCCATGGGACCTGCAGTGGATCACCGTGAACTACATCCAGGAGGGGTCGTCCTGCCTAAGCCCCCGTCCGCCGTGCACGTTGTCGAACACCTTAGCGTCATCCTTCGTGCGCGCCATGGGACAGAAAGCTCTTTTTACCGGTGCAGGAAGCTACCGGCGAACCATCCACCATTTACATGCTTTACGATATGTGTTTAAGTAGGACCCATTCATATGTATAACCATGTATTATGATAGTTAATCTTTTGTATATAGTCAAATCAATGTCAGATTAATAGGGCCCATGTCAGGAGAAGCAGTACTTTTTGCAGTGGGATATACGCATGCATGCAACATCTTTCCTCTCTCTCAAACAAACTCATGCATTTTATTTTTGTTTACATTTTAGATGGCCAATATTTTTTACAGCATTGTCCTAGTATTGAAAATTTTCATATATTCAAATTCGTGAACATAAGATCCTTAGAATGAGATCAATCTTGAGTATATTTAAACTAGTTTAATTTTTACTATTTCAATCATATCAAAATAATAATTTCACTCATTTCAAATTACAATTTTCAAAATGATTGAAATCAGTTATTGAAATGATTGAAACCACTTTCCAGAATATAGTTTTCTTTATGAGTTTCATATTCCAGCTTGCGAAACTGTTTCTTCAATGGAGTAACTGTGATGTGTTTTCTGAAACTAGTGAAATCTATCTTTTGTAATGACTGTAATCAATTTTTTGAAACAAGTGGAATATAGTATTTCAATTGAGCGACTGTAACGTGTTTACAGAAATGAGTGAAATGAGTGTAATGCGTTTTTTGAAATACTTATTTTGGAAACTAGTGAAATGAGTGTAATACGTTTTCTGAAAATGAGTGTACTGTGTTTTCTGAAACCAGTGAAATGAGTGAAATCTATATTTTGTAAATGATGCAGTGTGTTTCTGAAATGAGTGAAATAAGTTATTTCAATAAAAGTGAAATAAAACCAATTTTTGCCGTGAAACTATTTTTTCGGTGTTTGAAACTAATATTTTTATGAGCGGAATACATTTCAATATATTACATAAATTCGCAGTGAGATTAGTATTGCAAATGAGAGTAATGTGTTTCC